TCAAAAATGGCGTCTGGCGACAGCGCAACCATCTTTCTTTAGAAGAAAGGCGTTTAGCACTTCTACTTGTTGTTTGAAAGACGTGTCCAAGTCATTTGGAACAGAGGAAAGAGCAAATGGGCCATTCCCATCTGTACCGGGTCGGCCCGGGCCGGGTAGCGTAGGCTCTTTACATATCTGGGTGGCCTGGTATTTTTCCGGGCCAACCAAGGCACATTCTCAGCCCTCTTCTCGAGGGGGTCTGCTTCAGGCCGACCAGGGCCAACACACCCACTGCTGACAGCAAATTCACACCTTCCATTAGAGCAAGCCTCTGATTGGTGGGTAGAATCAGCCCACATGGGCTTAAGACAAGGATGTGTGGAATCAACCGGGCCAGGCTGGGGCCGACTGGGGCTACCCGGGCCGACCCGGTACAGATGGGAATGGCCCAAAAGAGAAAGAACTCCGCTTCAGTCGCCATGTTTATGAGAAACTCATCGTTATGGTGTGTGACGTACGCTACTCAGCGCTGATTGGCTCGGTTTGAATTCTCAGGGGGTGGGGTTATTTCAATAGGAGGATTTCCAGACCCTTTCTCTGCGCAGAGGCAGGCCAGGCTAGGACGGAATGGCCCTCGAGGAAAAAAGAACCGAAACAAGAAAGCGTCCATCTGAATACAATTTATTTTATACTCTTTTATAGTAGAAATTCACCAGACATTTGAGGTCATAATTCTGACATTTTTGCTGCCCCCCCAAAGCATGCATATTCATAAAATCTCTGTACAGCATCTTCACCGTTTTACATGAAAACTCGTTACATTCAACGCACACATCAGTGGGTGGAGGAGCCGTTGGGCCACAGGTGATGGGTGTGCCGTCTGTGCCGTCATACCTTGGACTATTTTAGTGGAGAAAGAAGAAACACTGGCAGCTTCCAGCCGTTTGCTCTCGACTTTTCTGTCTAAATTCATCAAAACAAATGAAGACAAAAGGTGGGTTGGCAAAGCTGAGGGGAAGGACGGTTGTTAGGTCTCAACAACAAGCTGAGGAAAGAGCAGAGACAGCAGACATGTGGGACAAGCTTCTACTCCGTAGGATAAAAGGTCTCAACCAGACCATCAAACTGCAGATTTTTTTGCTTTCTAGAAATGTAAACGAGTCAAAAGGTTTCAGTTGAAACAAGTTCAGCCTCTGAACTGTTTTGAAAATTCGCAAACAACAACTCTGCCTTCTCTTTTTATACGGTGCAGATAGATAGGTTTGCAGAACTAGTCAAATCCTGTTGAATCATTTAGTTACCAAATGGGTCAACGGACATGAATCCTTTTTTATAGAATAAGAAAAACATGGGTATTTAAAACATGACGCTTTGTGACTCGCTGAAGTTCAGATAAAGGCTGAATGAGGTTCCAACAAAAAATAAAAGTTTCAGCCAGACTAACTAAAAGCTTCCTTTTCACTTTAAAGAGGACCTTCACTTTCATTTTTCATACATTTGCAGAGATCTCTAGTAGGAATGAATGCCTCGAGCGTTTCAGCACCAATAATTTAGCCAGAGGAGAAACTAGCTTCAGACGACAAGGTGTGGAGTCTTATTTCCTGATATTTGGACATCTCCCCTCTGATTGGCTAACAGCAACGTGACTGTACCACGGACTCGGTTTGCTTTACAACGTTGATGTTTTATCTCCACAAATAACACAAGCCTAGGGGAGTTATGCTGTGTGGTGGAGTTGCTAATGCTAACAGTTAGCTTCTACTAGCTACGATGCTCTCTGCCGTCTCCTGGACTCTAAACCAACAACAGCCTCCCCGCTGTGAGTCAAGATGGGCGAGTCCATGAACGTTCCAAATGAGTCCAAATAAAACCTCTAATTTTGCAGAGAACTTATTTTTTCATGTGCAGTTTGATACTTGAACCCAAAACACAACAGAGGCCATGTTTCTGAAGCTAAAATGCTCAGAAATGACTCGAGACATGATTTACAAACCATGTTTGTTGCTTTGATTCAACAAATTATACTGATGAAAAATTACTGCTGGATAAAAACTGCGTAAATACAAATTGTGAATTTGAAGAACATCACAGTAATGTTAAATTTGGATGTAGATTTGATTTTTTCTGATCTAAATCAATCAGGATGGGCAGGTGTTAACTTCCTCCCTACTTTGTGCACATGTGAGATCATGAGAACCAAACGATGGTTGTTTTTTCTTCTACGCATGAATGCCAGAAAAGCTAATCAATGAGAGGAATTTCATAGATGGTTTTTCTGATTGACTGAAGTGGAAATGCAGCATCATTGAGCTAAACTCAGACCTGTGAAGGAGCCTCATGATCATCACACCTCATTCAGCCTCAGCAGGAAAATCACAGCAGATCAGAAAACTCCGAGCACCTAGGTTACGTACCTCCAGCTTCAAAGACTGATACGAAAATCATTCAAGTTTATTTTTTAAATAAATATAAATAAAGGAGTTGAGTCAGGTGCATTTTTTCCATTAACAGATCACAGATATGACGAGCGCTTCTGCAGGGCACATTTATGTACATTAAACATTCAGATTTGTCTTTCATATGATGAAACGTTTACGTGAGCTGTTCACTACTTACAATACATGGCCTCATAACTCAGAGGAATACAAAACTTCACAGCATGAAAAGTCATTAAATACTGAAAGATCCAGTAAAAGTCTTAACTAAAGTTTTTACATTACGAAAATCCTCTTTGGGATAAACCACTGTCCTTTCCTTCGTGTTGTTGTTCTAATGGAGAGCCCGGACACAGTGGGAATCAGATTGTTTAGGGAACAAATGTACATGCATGAAAGACAAGCACAAGACTCATTTTCCTGATAGAAAAGGTCCGTCATATCAGTAGAGTGCATTTGTGGCACAGAGTCTGTTCTGTTTGGTGAGGATGAAGCTCCTTCAGAAAATCAGAGAGGCAACTGGTTGGACAGACAGCACGGGGTGAAGCAGTGAAGCAGGAAGAGATCCGAGGAAAGGCAAAAGAGGCGGATCCATGTTTTTCCCTCAGCATCGATCAGCTCGAGGTGAGTTTATTGCCGTGAGCAGGAGGCAGGAAAAGGAGTGAATGAAGGAGGAGGAGTGGTAGAGGAGTCTGTCTTATCACCATCTGTGCCTTTCTGTCTGCCAGTCCTCACACTGTCGAAATCAATTTGACTTCTGAGGAACTGCGAACAAAGAGAGGGAGAGGCTTCCAGGTGGGCTGGCTCAAAAAGACACAGCAGCAAACAAGCAGGACACACCTCTAACAAGAGAAATTAACCCAGAATCTGCAGGCTCGGCCTAACCCTGACCCAGAACTGGGATGTGAGCCGAGACTGGGAGGATGGAAAGTGGTGAAGCTTAGCGGATGAGAGCCAGGAGGTGAAGGCGGTGATCATTTCATAGAATAGATGAACACAAATAACATGAAACAGAAACTACATGAACCAGTAACATGCAAACAAAAGGCTGGTTTTTATTATCCAAAGATAAAAAAACTAATAAAATTCATTCAGAATTCATTAGAATAAACAAATCCTAAACCTCTCCTCAGAAATCAAAGCCAGTTCTAAACTAAATTACATTAAAGAGCATTTATTTTTATCAAATTGTTTTAATTATTTATGTTTAATACCTAGTTTATTTAAAGGTTGAATATGGAACACTGGCACTGTCGACATCTAGTGTTTAGAGGTGGTAGTGCAACAACAGCAAAGACTTTCCAGCCGTTGGGGGTGTTGGATCACTGCTGACATGCTAAGTGACCAGTCACCATGTCCAGTGACAAATCACACAGGGTAGGGGTGATTTCTACTAATAAGTTTATTTTACAACAGTATTTAATGTTAGAACATCTTGTGGGCTCAGAATCAGCTGCTTGACTTGTCAAGTCTGCCATTTTACAGTCCCAGCCTCGCCGTACCAAGCTGACCATTTAGTGCAACAGTGCCCTCTAGTGACTGGTAGATGTACACAAACCCAGTCTCATGCACGACAAAATCAACATTTTATTAACCCTAACCCTAACTTTTAAAGGAAAAACTGTACATTCATTCTACACACCGCTAAATGCCCCATGGAGGTACTTTAACAATATAGCATTTTATTTAAAATTTTCCATATTCCACCTTTAATCACCTTTAATAGGAGCCCATTCACAGGATAAGTCTCAGATAGTTTTATGTGGTAGAATATAAAGTGTTAAAGGTCTGCTTTAGCGCTGCAGGAGGAGTGGCAGAGTAACGGCACAGAGTTTCCTGCAGGATGATGTGGTTCCGAGACAGGAGAAAGTATCAGAACATGTCTTAAGGTGATTTTATTTTTTGGAAGCAATTTTTTCCAGAATTACTTTCTCGTTTGTTACACAGTTTTAAATGGATTCATTATGTTCACACACACACATGTATGAAACATAATAAAATAATCAACCTGAGCATAAAAAAGGTATTAAAAGCTCATTTACTGTAGTCGGTTACTAATGTAAAAGAGTAGTGTAGCTTCTGGGGTTTGTGTTCAACAGTCACTACGCTGTACTGTCAGCAGGATTAAGAAAAAAAAAATATTAAATTTGGTCAATTTGGAAATTTCATGTTCATAATTCAGATGGTTCACAAGAGCCTCTGGTTAGGTTCTGTTATCCATGAAGAGATGAGTATTTGACCAGATGCTGGTACATTAAACATGATCTCATTTCATATCAAACAAATGTAAACAGAACATGAAGAAAACAGGAGAGCAAACAAATGGAACAAAACAAAGAGTGTAGTGTTTTGGTCGAGTGTGTGCCTGAATTACGGTCCCAGCCCCTCACACCTGTGTCCTCAGCTGAGTCAACATGAATGCTAACTGGACTAGCTTATAGAAGATCTCTCCATTTACTCAGATCAGATCAGATAACCCAGCCAACTGGACAGACTTGGATCAGCTCAGACTGACGACAAACTAAAGTAGGACAGTAAAGAAAAATAAGTAGTTCTTACCTAGTGGGGAAGCGGGGTTCATACTCTTCAACTCCCTGCTGCAGCTGTATTAAAAAATAAATAAATATGTTAAGTTTATTCTGAAACAGCCACTCATGAAACCGTTGCAATAATCTGAGCAGCCAACAGATGGCAGCAAAGACCCCTCAACATCAATCGTCAGGCTTCATCCACAAATCTTAAACATTACAATTAAAATATAAAGTTACAATATAAAGTCCAGTTGTACTGAAGCGCCTTCACTGACTGGTATAATTTCCCAGCTGTGTGTGTACTAAACAAATATGTCTGAATATTTACCATTTCCTTTAAAGACAGAAGCAACACGGAGCCGCCAGCAGCACAAATATTGTCTGAATGTAAAATCTATAAAACTCTGAAACGATAAAGGTTTTACATTTTTCCAAGGAAACTTCATCAACGATGAGCAACTGCAACCGTTTCAGGACCAAATATCAGTGCGTGGGAGATGAGCGGTAACTTTAGATGACAGGGTATATACAGCAATCCTTAAGTAAAATTTACTACTTTTTAATACTTTTTTTTACTACCTTCAGAATTTTTTTAAAACCATCACAACACTAAATTGCAAGTGTTAATCAGCGACCTATTTACACATATTTTAACATATATAACATACAAAAAGCATAGACTTAGAGACTCACTGATGTTGACAACGTATTGCGCATATTTATTTTACTTAGAAAATATGCCAGGCACTTCTTTTCAGCGGTTCAGACAGTTGACCACGGGGCCTGAAATGATGCAGAACGACCACTGAATATGACGTCATCATAATGTGACCGGATATGCTAAAGTAGGGCTGCTCAATTATGGCAAAAACAATAATCACGATTATTGTGACTGAAATTGAGATCTCGATTATTTAAGACGATTTTTCAATTTATGTAGATTTTTTTTAATTTATTTTTATTCAGTCATAAAACTGCTCAGGGCACAATCAGGGCAAAAATAAACAAGAAACAAGATGATCACTAAAAGAACTCCTGATTCCCAGTATAAAAAGACCAATATACTTATAGCTCATAGTTTATGACCCAAGGGCTGTAGACCTTGGTTTAACTCATTTAAGTCTAACCCGTACAGACCCAAATACCAATATCTTGCAAATACTGACAGCAAGAATTATACAGTGGCATTTATAACAAATAAATGCAAATAAATTAATGTTCACAAAATGTTGCATAACATTTATTGAGTCATGTCAAGGTGCTGTAGGAGAGTGCACTAGCACCGTGTCCTCAGAGAGATTAGTTATTATTTATCAGCGTGAGGAACTTATTTCTACCTTATTTATAAACTATTTATTTACAAGTCCATCAGTTAATGTAATAATTGTCCCAACCACAGCTGCACCCCCCACCCCCCAACCCGGTCTCACAGCAATCGGGGCAAGCTGCATGTGTGTTTAGCGCGCCGCACGCGCACACTTAGCCGTTTTTAGTGGCTCAGGAGCCCGCAGGTACGGTGTGTGTCACTCACTCTGGTTACTCCAACAGGAAGCCGGCTCCGAGAGCCGTTTCTTTAGCGACTGACACATCACTACATCATTCCCTTTCCTAATGTCCTGAAGAACGGTCCGGAGCGCAGGCGGAGTGTTTAGCTAACCTGCAGCAGGAAATGTCGACGATAGTTATCCAGAAAGTAGCTAAGGGTTACCAGAGATGTTTCTGAGGTGTTCGCTAGGTACTTTTAAGATTTAAAAAGTCAAGAAGGGGGTCTGAAAAGCTGTTGGAAATAGCATCAAAGTCGCTAAGTTGGCAACGGAGCGCTTCATTTGTAACTCAGGGCAGCTCAAGTGGGAGGAGCAAATAATACGGCTTGTTTTATTTTTATAATCGTTCAAAACATTTCATTCGGAATATATTTCTATGTCGATGTTCAGAATACGACACCTGATAGTCTGAAAAAAATAATACCTAACTTGGAAAAAATAATACCTCTGAGACCAAATTTAACACTTTTAATGGCCTTAAATTTGACTATTTTTATTTATCACTTTTTAATACTTTTTAAAACCCCGCGGACACCCTGGATGACAACGTGGAACGGTTTGAGACGTCTTTTGTTTGCCTCGCGACAAATGTGACAAATCCTGGAATGATGTGAGGCAAAAAGAACACTTTAAGCCGTTAGGTGACGGCGTCGCCCACATAGCGTTTCCTAGGTGAGGCGTAGGAGGAAATCTGGCCTGATGGAGATGGGGTTTGCCGTTTCATAACTCTCACTTTGCCTTCTGAAAAGATTCGTCCGTCTCATCACCGCACACCCTTTCTGTCAGACAGCTGGGCGAATGTGGACTCGTGTCAGAAAGGCTCGTCTCAGAAACAGGTGAGTCTAGACCTCCTCAGTCTGAGTCACATCAGAATATCGACCTCCCTAACAGCCAACGTGTAACGTCGAGCAGAATGGATCTCTGCGCTTATGTAACCTGATGTTGCAGAGTGTCTAAGAGTAGGGTTAAAAGACCAAGCTCCTGAAACTTCCTTAAGTTCTCCCATCATGCTGCCTGATTGACACAGAGGGTCTTTGCTAGGTTTGGTTGTTTTGCAGCAGCACCTACCTGTGAGAAGCCTGGCACAGCCACGCTGTAGGGGCGTTGTTGTCTGCTGTGCGCAGAGGCAGCGCTCTGTGCAGCCAGGCGCGAGTGCATGCTGTAATCATGGACAGGGAGACTCATGTCTTCTCTCTCCAGAAGGTTTCCTGTGCTGCTGCTTTTCCCATGATGAAGGCTGGCAACAAACAAAAACATGAAAAATAAAATCAACATGTATGTGGCACGGTGGGAACATGTGGATGCATTTAGAACATTTCTGTTTTAGGTTTCTAGCTTTTCATTGTCAAAAGCTTCAAAAATACGGGTCTTAAACTTAGACAATAATCAAGAACTTTACAGAACTAGATGTCTCAGATTAAAGCTACGTTTCTGCACGAGAAGGAACACCTACTTGTGAACTCGAAGTTGCCTCATGGTGTCGCCGTCGCCCTCAGTGATCACCTGAGTGTAGGAGAAGGGAAACCAGCCACGCCTGGTGGAAACAAGCGGCGCATATTAGAAACGCTGATGTCGTACCTCTCATTCATTTCTAAGCTGGAATCTGAAAAGATCCGTAAATTCTGGTCTATGAAATCAAACTGGACTCACATCCTGGTCTTCTCATTCTCTCCGTAGTGCCAGCCATCACGGGCCTCGGGGACCAGCAGAGTGATCACGTCGCCCTCGGCAAAGCTCAGCAGCGTGCCGTTGTCACCGGCAGCGTGGGAGAAGATGGCTTGGACTCGAGTTCTTCCGTTCCTCTCCAGACCTGCTGCCATGGAGCTGGAGCGGGGCAGCGTTCGCGTCTCCACTGGAAAAAAAAAACACCATCTTTAACCTTTCGCTTCTTCATAACGTGAACTAAAACCTACTTTCTAATATCAAGTCTCTTCCTGTTCCCACTGGTTTGGGCCTGTTGAACTCGAAATGCAACAACAACAAACAACAACAGCTTCACAGTAAATGTGTTTGAAACTAACAAATTCAACCTTAAGGTCGAGCCTCTTTTAAATAAAACATTTCTGTGCAAAGGAAGAAGAATGCAGCAGAAGCTAATCAACCAACAAGCCTGACATGTTCTTCATCTTCTTATGGAGGATTTGTTTATGCTGCACTTTGACCTCAGATGTGAAGAACTCCTGATGTTCCTCTTGTTTTGTGCAGGTTTTGCACTCTGAAGGTCAGATTAGCTAAAAAAAAAAAGGTTCAAGACTAATCTAAAGCTTCCAGAGTAAAAACAGTTCTTCGGGGTATCTGCAGGTTTAAGGGAGCCAAATTTAAGACTTTTTAAGACCTTTTTTAAGGCCACTTTGACCAAATTTAAGCTATTTAAGCAGGGCAGCAGTAGCTCAACAGGTTGAGCGGGTTGTCCAGTAATCGGAAGGTTGCAGGTTCGATCCCGGCTCCGGACAGAGAATTCTGCTGTTGAGTCCTTGGGCAAGACACTTAACCCACCTTGCCTGCTGGTGGTGGTCGGAGGGACCGGTGGCGCCTGTGCTCGGCAGCCTCGCCTCTGTCAGCGCGCCCCAGGACAGCTGTGGCTACATCATGGCTCATCCCCACCAGTGTGTGGATGTGTGTGAATGGATGAATGATACACTGCAGTGTAAAGCGCTTTGGAGTCCTGACTCTGAGAGGCGCTATACAAGTGCGGGTCATTTATCATTTAAGCTATAATTTCCAGCTATTGCCTGGAACCGGTGCTAACCACATCACGATCGTGGGATTAGCCATCCAGTTACCATTAAACTTGCACTTCCCCATGGCGCAAGCTCCCACTAGCTTAACCAGCTAACGTGCTCATCTAAAAATAGCCCCCTTTCACAACGAGCTGAATGTGTACGGTTCCGCTTACGCCAACTACGTACACAAAAAACGCTGAACATCAACTAGGAATTCACGAAAATTTTATAGAAATAAAATAATCTAGTTTATTGGGTCTTTGGTCATTTAAGACCTCTGGAAACTGTATTTAAGGATTATTTGTCATTTTTAAGGATTTTTAAGGCCTTAAATTTAGAAAAGCTAATTTAAGGCTTTTTAAGACTTTAAGGACCCGCGGATACCCTGTTCTTAGACTTCAATCAACAAAACCCCTGCAAAAAAGTGTTTTCCCAATTATCCAACACTACGCTGTTTGTAAGCATTCTGACCAGACTCCTTCTGTGACAAAAGAAAAGTAATCCCAACTGATGAGGTAGGGTGTGTTCTCACGTAGTGTGGCTTTGCTTTTGGCCGGGCCGGCCTTGCGAACTGGCAGGGTGTTTGAGTAGACCTCCGCTCCATGCCGCTGAGTCTGTGGAGAGGCCTTGGCTTGGGCAACCTTCCCCTCCATCCACTGCTGGTAGTCTTCTCCCCCAGGAGCCCCGTTCATCACCGGCATGGCTCCATCCACTCCACCCATCATCCTCTGTCATACAGTCAACACACAAACTTGCCCTGAGCTGAAGCAGTTACATAACGTCCTGCAGCTCATTAATGATAATGAAAGTTGAGAGCAGATCTGGGTCATGAATGAAAACACTTCGTTTACTAGTCTAAAGACAAACACACAGAACGAGTGGGAGAGCCATCGGATGTTTAGTAACAAACAAGCAGCAGATCTGCACAGCTGTTGTTTAGACGACAAGCTCAGACCAAACTGGAACACTTTGTTTTTCAGCAGCCCCCTCTGTAGGGGGGGGGGGGGGGGGGGGGGTGCAAAAGAGCTTTGAGGATGGAGGACATTTAGGCTTTTTCTGAGCAGCGAGCTCATTAGCAGTTTACTGAGGATTTTATGAAGAGAACCGTTGGCAGGATCAAAATCACTCCGCGCTTTTAAAATTCCCCATCCAAGCTTATTATGGGTCTCATGTTTCTGGTTGTGTTTTCACGTCCATGAGGGTTGTAGCTTTCTTTTAAAAACATTTGGTTTAAGAAGTCAGTGAGAGACTGCAGCAAATAGCAGAAATACCAAATACATATACTGTATACATATATGGAGTCCTCTGATTCTGAAAGGCACTATACATGCGGCCATTCATCATTTTCCGTTTCCATCACATTCTCCCCATATCCATATTCGGCACTAACCGATGACTGAAAGTCACTCCACCTCTGCTCATGCAGCTACATAACTCCTCTCATCTTCAGTGGGAGGAAACAAAACAGAACAACTGTGTGTTTCTGCAAATTAAACTATGTAGGTTGGTGCAGACTCCATTCCACTTCCTTGTATTTCATGTAAACAACCTCTTGCAGATTTGCACTTTGGTTTTTAACTTTTCCTTTTCCTAACCCAACTCGTTGCAGTGTTGTCCTGGATGTCTCCATGACTTGATCGCCTTAGGAACTGACCTGTTGTCCCATGCCCCCGCCGGCCCTGAAGGCTGCCAGTTCTGGAGGCACCGGCAGAGGTTTAGCACTGGGGATTGGCTCAGAGATGGTGGGGTGATGAGCACCAGGTGGCAGGGTGCCCGCGGCACCACTCATCTGCTGGGCTAGGAACATGGCTCGGTCTGGCAGTTTGTTTGGCTCGGCACACGCCTGCTGCCACACCGGGACCTTCTGGGATAAAAGCTCCCTGCCCTGGAGGGAGGAAGGAAGATTTGGTATCAGTGTGCTTTACCTCTGTGTCTGATCCACACACACCATCAGCATGACAGAATCCCTCACTTTGCATTTTATTTGCAAAATTAATCATTTTTTCTTTACCTGACTAACATAAATCTTAGAAATCCCTTTAAAGACATGTAATGTCAATTTTAATCCTTTAAATCATAATGGCTAACCTAGGTTAATATAGTCTGAAATCTGAGTGAGTTCAAATGCATAAGAGCAGATGACTCAGTTCAATAATTAACATTTATGTTTTTGCCCCAAAAGCGACCTTAAGGACAGTTTATTTGTTGTGTTTATTTCTCCAGCAGTCAGAGCAAACAGGAGGACAAAGTGGGAGTTTGGGTTTGTGCTTTTCTTCAACATTTTCATATTAAAGGCTTGGTTTTCATTCATCATTTTGATTGTTACTAAAGGCCAAACGCTGCAGCATATTTGAAATTTGCTGATTTGTGGTAAAAGTTAACTGAAAAACTAGAGGGGAGCATTTAGTCCTGTAGAGGCTGCGTGACGCCAAAGTCTGAACGTTTATTTATGAAAGTCTCAGCTGGTGAAGGAGTTAGATTTCCTCCATGCATTATACATCGGGTCAGTTACATAAAGATACTCTCATCTGCATTGTTGGTGAATAAACGACTCCTGAATCCACAAATAAAGTCAAACCGTTTTAACCTGGCTGAGCTGGAGTGGAGGACCAACAGAAGGTGGACAGGACCTGCTGAGAGGGTGTGGGCTGTAGCGACGAGTGTAGGAGGGATGATCGAAACACATAAATCAGAATAAACTATTTAATAAGAAAAAAAAAGCATTGCTTTGCTTACCTACTATGTTAAAATAAAGACTAATGGGATTTCACCTATGACTGTTCTTTGTTCAACACGTTGCTGCTGGTGAGTCAGTAAGACCCCAGTTAGCCAGGTCGAACGTAGGTGGTTGGTGCCTCTACCTGTGTGATGGTAATGGGCCAGCACAGACGGCAGCTCACCCGGCTCATTAACACGGGAACGTGTCCTGGAGGTAAAGGGACCTAAATCTACCACAGAACTCCGTCCACTTCTCCAGCTCTTTAGCTCAAACCAAAAGGCTGGGGTTAGGGTTAGGCACCAGTGTTTGGACCGGACCAATCTTAGTAATTTTGTCTACTTCTGGACTTTAATCATCACATCAGCACTTTGTGTTTTGTGCTTCCTCCTTCCGTCTGTCAATCACCATTCAGACACTTTCACACCCACATGCTGCTAGTCAGAACCAAGTGTTCTGGTAGAAGTAGGTCATCCTCTCCCTCCTCCTCAGCCTCTAAATGTGAAGACGCAACACCATTCTGAGGAGGAAGTGGGAGTGGCCAACATCTCAGACCGATGTTTATGAATGCCCGTGCTTTGTTATGTGGGGATGCTGTAATGGATAAACTAAAATAGCATCCAGTAATGTGTCATGGTTTGTGTTAGGGATTTAATATACAGGTGCTGGCCAGTAAATTAGAATATCATCAAAAGGTTGAAAATATTTCAGTAATTCCATTCAAAACGTGAAACTTGTACATTATATTCATGCAATGCACACAGACCAATGTATTTCCAATGTTCATTACATTTAAATTTGATATTCATAAGTGACAACTAATGAAAACTCCAAATTTGGTATCTCAAAAAATTAGAATATTCTGAAAAGGCTGAATATAGAAGACACCTGCTGCCACTCTAATCAGCTGATTTACTCAAAACACCTGCAAAGGCCTTTAAAAGGTCCCTCAGTCTTGTTTTGAAGGCACCACAATCATGGGGAAGACTTCTGACTTAACAGCTGTCCAAAAGACAATCATTGACACCTTGCACAAGGAGGGCAAGACACAAAAGGTGATTGCTAAAGAAGCTGGCTGTTCGCAGAGCTCTGTGTCCAAGCACATTAACAGACAGGCGAAGGGACGGAAAAAATGTGGTAGAAAAAAGTGTACAAGCTCTAGGGATAACCGCACCCTGCAGAGAATTGTGACGACAAACCCATTCAAAAATGTGGGGGAGATCCACAAAGAGTGGACTGCAGCTGGAGTCAGCGCTTCAAGAACCACCACGAGGAGACTCATGAAAGACATGGGATTCAGGTGTCGCATTCCGTGTGTCAAGCCACTCTTGAACAAGAAACAGCGCAAGAAGCGTCTCGCCTGGGCCAAGGACAAAAAGGACTGGACTGATGCTGAGTGGTCCAAAGTTATGTTTTCTGATGAAAGCAAGTTCTGCATTTCCTTTGGAAATCAAGGACCCAGAGTCTGGAGGAAGAGCGGAGAAGCACAGAATCCACGTTGCATGAGGTCCAGTGTAAAGTTTCCACCGTCAGTGATGGTGTGGGGTGCCATGCCATCTGCCGGTGTTGGCCCACTCTGTTTCCTGAGGTCCAGGGTCAATGCAGCCGTCTACCAGGAAGTTTTAGAGCACTTCATGCTTCCTGCTGCTGACCAACTTTATGGGGATGCAGACTTCACCTTTCAACAGGACTTGGCACCTGCACACAGTGCCAAAACCACCAGCACCTGGTTCAAGGACCATGGTATCCCTGTCCTTGATTGGCCAGCAAACTCGCCTGACCTTAACCCCATAGAAAATCTATGGGGTATTGTGAAGCGGAGGATGCAATACGCTAGACCCAACAATGCAGAGGAGCTGAAGACGACTATCAGAGCAACCTGGGCTCTCATAACACCTGAGCAGTGCCACAGACTGATCGAGTCCATGCCACGCCGCATTACTGCAGTTATTGAGGCAAAAGGAGCCCCGACTAAGTATTGAGTGCTATACATGCACATTCTTTTCATGTTCATTCTTTTCAGTTGGCCAACATTAGAGAAACAAACATTTTTTCATTGGCCTTTAGAATATTCTAATTTTCTGAGATACCAGATTTGATGTTTTCATTGGTTGTCACCTATAAATATCAAATTTAAATGTAATGAACATTGGAAAATACATTGGTCTGTGTGCATTGCATGAATATAATGTACAAGTTTCACGTTTTGAATGGAATTACTGAAATATTTTCAACCTTTTGATGATATTCTAATTTACTGGCCAGCACCTGTATTTATCAATAAACCCATTTCCTGCAGTTGAAGAGTTCAGCTCAGCAAGTTTATTTTAAAACATGAGATAAGGAAAGAAACAGAGGTGTGTGTGTGGGGGGGGGGGGCGGGGGGGGGGGGGGGGGGACAAGAATGTGTGGGTGTGTCTGAATGGGAATATGCTTTCAGGCATAAGGTAATACATTAGTTAATAGGATTAAAGTAATGGAATATAAAATTTCCAAGGGCTGCGCAGTGGCACAGTGGTTAGAGCCTGGATTCGCTTCCCAGCCTGGATCTTTCTGCATGGAGGTTGCATGTTCTCCCTGTGCATGCGTGGGTTCTCTCCGGGTACTCCGGCTTCCTCCCACAGTCCAAAAACATGACTGTTGGGTTGATTGGTCTGTCTAAACTGTCCTTAGGTGTGTGTGAGTGTGTGTGTGCATGGTTGTTTGTCCTGTGTGTCTCTGTGTTGCCCTGCGATGGACTGGCTCTCTGTCCAGGGTGTACCCCGCCTGATTGCCCGTTGACCGCTGGAGATAGGCACCAGACCCCCCGCAACCCTACGTGGACAAAGCGGGTTCAGACAATGGATGGATGGATAAAATTTCCATAACAGTTTGGATCAAAGTTATATAAATGCAGCTGAGTTTTAGAGAAAACAAGTATGCAACTGGTACAATGGATCAGCCAATCTGTCAATGTTTTTTGATTAACTTTTAAACGACATCCTGTGTAAAAATTCCTAAATTTAAATTTTTGAAACATCAGCTGTTTGTTAAGAGCCTTGGAAGGAAACATTATTAGTTGGTAAATGCCTAATTCCACATCACTTTGTTTTTGTTATTTATTGTAGCTCTGCCTTTAGTCACCTCTACAGAAAACACCCTTACTGGTTCACGGTTTGTTTTTGCCTGCAAAGGAAAGCACCACATTACAGTCAGAAGTGACCACATGAGTGCATTTTTAATATTTGTGGGCCAAAAAAAAAAAAAAAAAGAGTTAAAAAGCAGAGACTGGACCAATCACTGGATCAGAAGCTAGGAAGTTTAGGAACTTAAATATTCTGGATCACATTTTACTGGTTTGTGTCCCAGTGACCTTAGAGGACCACCAGGCCCAGCAGCTCTCACCTTGCTGTGGTAGGCACTGCTGTTCTTGGCCACGGCACACTGACGGTCCACCAAGAAGCAGTACCGCCTCCTCTCTTCAGACAGAGCGTTCTTGTAGCCCTCGGCGATGTAGTTGTCCAGCTCACTCTGCTTGTTGCTGATGGCCTCAACATACTGCAGACAAGACAGGAATCCTTCATCAGGTGGTTTTTAACAACTTAACAGTTTGCCGTTAGGGTTGGGTCAGACTAAAGCTGAAAGGACATCAGATCATTCCATTTTAGCCAACATGTTCAGGTGTGCATATGATCTAAATCAGAAATATGCAGAGGCTCTTTTAAAACCCCACTTGGTAAGGTAATGAATGACTTTTACAGGTGTTTTTCTTTCTCAAAAGAGTCAAACATCATAATCATGACATGGAAAAACTAGCCAAACTTTTCTTTTACGAAACATCTTAAATCAGAAATGTCACAAAATAAACAAGAAAACCACAAAATAGAGGGAAAAAAGGGCAAAACACTCCCGATATGACTTCGTCTTCGTCTTCGTCTTCCTCCGCTTATCCGGGTCCGGGTCGCGGGGGCAGCATCCCAACTAGGGAGCTCCAGGCCGTCCTCTCCCCGGCCTTGTCCACCAGCTCCTCCGGCAGGACCCCAAGGCGTTCCCAGACCAGATTGAGATGTAACCTCTCCAACGTGTCCTGGGTCGACCCGGGGGCCGATATGACTTTTAAACATAAAGTTTCCTTTATTTTTAAAAGAGGTTTTACGCATTTATCACAACCAACCCAGTCAGAGATCACATACTTGTGTTTAAAGCACACGTCGAGCGTGTGAACCCAGCTTCATCCACAGGGTCACTTATGTAACCGAGAGCTTGTACGAGTTTCCTGGTGTCAGATAATGTGAAGCAGCCTTCTGCGAGTGCCAGACAGCTCTCGGCAGTGGTATGAGGTGTCTGTGACCACGCCCGAGTCCTTCAGTCAGTGGCACACGCCCCCACATGTCTGGTTCATTCAATAAACAACAAAACTGATCAAATCACTGATGGTGACATGATGTACTGAAGGGCTTGAATTACCCAGAGATGCACCAGGATAACACCAGAGGTTTTTATTAGAGAAATAATAAAGCAGATTCATGCATTCATGAAAAAAAAATGCTTATTTCAGGCTGGAAATTTTAACCATTATTGAACAAACGTTGGAATATTAGAAATGGATTATTTCAACATTACGGGCAAATTAATATGAAATCTATTGGTGCCTAAATTACCCATTTGAGACCAGATTTTGTTAGACTATTATCAAGTCATAAATGAACATTTCAGAAATCCAGAAATAAGTAAAAGTAAATCAACATCCAGGATGTGGTCATTAGGTTGAGAGTGGAACATTGTTCTCTTTGTGGGCACATCCAGCAGTCACCCACACTCAAAACAGTAAATGACGGCATGCTGCTGTAAAGTGGCCATTACACAGGAAGCTGGGGGCAACTAATGAATCATATGGAGTGTGTAGGACGAGCAGCGCTCAGCCGTCAGGTCCAGAAGTTACCGTGATGCCGTCAGTCAGAGACGGACCAGGCCCTCCTCCATCATCCCTCGGCTTGCAAAGGTGATGGGAGGGTAGGGGTGTCATGAGGAGGAAATCAAAATGTTCAGACTGGAAGAATCCACAAACTTTGTGTACTAAATTTATCTGAACTATGTGACCTGAAAGCCATCTAACCCATCCTTCCTCTCTTGGAGAAGAAGGACTTTCAGGTAATGGCATTTCAATAAAAATACAATAAACATGAACGGCACAAAAACTACAAGCAGAAGGAATTAGATCTCAGCTTTCGTCCAAATCACCTTAAAGCTTGTGACTAGAAATGATATTTCCATCTTTAGTGAATTATTTACGTATCTGGCTGATTCTACTTGTGAGTAATATTTATAGCAATACAGGTGATCCCTCGTTTATCGCGGTAGATGCGTTCCAGACCTGGCCACGATAGGTGAAAATCCGCGAAGTAGGGACACCATATTTACAGTATTTAACAGGTACGTATTCAGTATTCAGACTTTTAAAACCCTCCCTTTACATAGTACTGTATTTTTACTTTTTTTTTATAGTTTTATTACAAAAAAAGCATTTTATGATGAAATTGATGAAAAAAAAACCCAGGAATTTCTTGATATTTCGCATAGAAAAATACCGCGAATTGGTGAAAATTTTCCGCGAATCGGCGAATTTCCCTTGAATAAGGCTCCAAAGAAAAAATCCGCGAAGTCGTGAATCCGCGATAAACGAACCGCGAAGTAGCGAGGGATCACTGTACTACTACTAATAATAATGGGGTGACGGTGGCACAGGAGTTAAGTGTTCACCTTGTAATCGGAAGGTTGCAGGTTCGAGCCCCACTCAGTCTGTCGCTGTCGTTGTGTCCTTGGGCAAGACACTTAACCCACCTTGCCTGCTGGTGGTGGTCGGAGGGACCGGTGGCGCCAGTGTACGGCAGCCTCGCCTCTGTCAGTGCACCCCGGGGCAGCTGTGGCTACATCTTAGCTCATCCCCACCAGCGTGTGAATGTGTGTGTGTGAATGGGTGAATGATTGTGTTGTAAAGTGCCTTGGGGGGTTCCAGGACTCTAGAAGGCTCTATATCAAATACAGGCCATTTACCATTTAATACTGAGGTTAAAACTGATCAGCAGCTGCATGAGGCTATTTGAGATTGGGTACCAGAGTAATCCGAGTACTCGTGCTCAGTAGAACAAGCTGCTGTTGGTTCTGGCTGACTTGGAGCACAGTCAGCATTTAAAACATGTGCGACCAGTATTTATTAACTTTCTACACATTAAACATGTTCTGAACCACTGGAGCAAAAACTCTGCTGAGCATGAGAAGTGTTAGCAGATGCAGCCTCTCGGAGACCATGCTTGTCCTAGCTAGGCCTACCTTATCAGCAGAACACCAAACATCGCAGAGCTGGATGCGAATTCATTCAGATGCTTTTTTTGGGAGATAAAAGAATAGCTGAACTTCTCAAAAGAGTTCTGACTCAGATGTTCCTGCAAACTGACAAACCTCTCCCGTATTTCCCTGAGATCAAGCGACACAAACTGCCAAATGGCTGAAAGTAATAAAAGCGGGTGTTCGCTCATTCCAGAGCTCCCAGTCGTAATAAACAGAAGATGAGATGTGAAATGAAAGTGGATATTTGAGTACACGACAGTTCTACAAAAGGTAAAGCTCTGAAATGTTCCCAGGGAAACAACGACCCTGCTTTCAGAAATATATAGGAGGAGTTTATTTCCCACTTTCCACCCAGGACTCAAGTTTTTCATCCAGTATATTATTATTTGTTTCTAGCATGCCTAAAAAAAGAAAGAACAAACAAACAGTCGGATTAGAACTGTAATTAAAGCTCATTCCAGCGGTACTTTTGACTCCCACCGAGAAACGGACCATCCTAGTGTCCACAGTCTCCGTTAGTGTCTGTAGTAGGGTTGTCACGATACTAAAATTTCAATTCGATACTTGAAAAAATAACTCGATACTCGATTTCGATACTATTTAAAAACACCCATTTATCGAACAAGTTTATTCAAAAAATAACATTCCTCAATTTATATTGCAAAAATTAAATGTTAAGAATTAAGTGTATTAAGTGCTTAAACCTTTCAAGTATCAGCATTTTTTTAAAACGTGCATACAAAAACTGGTGAAAGTTAACACTTTGTCTCACTATATATACACCATTTGCAGAGTGATGTTTTGCTGCTTAAACTCTGTTTAAGGTGCATTTTTGTCATAAGATGTAATGCCATATGCTTTGTTCTGTACTTTTGAACAACTCTGTTGGTCAAAAAAGGGAGAAAACGAATTTCTCCACAGTAGGACAAAGGTACAACTAATCTTAATAAAAACAGATTGGCGCATGGCAGTGACGTCATTAAAAGCGCCGGTTAATTAGCCGCACAGGGATGGAATATCTAATTTAGATACCACTCTTAGTATCAATTTATATCTAGGTATCGATTTTTTTGACAACACTAGTCTGTAGTGAGTGAACGCTGGAGACCCACAGGAAACACAGCTCAGTCTCCAAAGAGAAGAGAGAAAACTGCACACTTTGGGCAATTAATGTAGTTTCTTATCACCAAAACACTCCTCCTCCTCCATTACAGCAGAGGTGCCAAAACCAGTCAGTGGAGAAAACTTACTGTTGGAGCCATTTGGGTTACTTACAGTTGTTGGGTTATTTATTGGGTTTAGCTGTTAGTTAATGATAATTTTATTTATTTATTTTTGTTTTGCCTGTGAGAACCAGCCAGGAAGAAAAGAGGTGTTTTGTTTTCTATAAATATGGGGACTGGTGTGGGACCAGCATGCACTGGGGTGAGCCACAGAGCAGGAGAAACGGAGATGTATATAATACTTTCCAAGTTGGATGAATAAACACTAAAAATATTCAACAGTTAAGATCGCTACATTGGACTTCTGTTGCCTGCGTACAAGATATCGCTTCAGTGCAGCAGTGGCTTAAGGACTTAAAACCCTAAGGAAATTGTCTGGACAAACAAGGAATCGCCACTACACTTTCATCTATTTCACTTATTTAGCCTTCGATCGATTTCCACTTTAGATCGTTTTAGATGTAAAAGGCAGGAAGTAAAAGCCTCAGAAAAGATTTCTGTTCCATAAAAATCTCATCTCCTGTCCCCTTAAGGACACAAATATTAACTTTGTTGGAGAGAATGAAGACATATGGACAAAATGGAGGCTGAAATTGAATCAAACAGGATTTCAGATTTTGGAACTTCTCTCTATCAGAAGCGACGCTACGACAAAGGGAGAAGCTCTGGGCTTAAATCACAGCTTTCACACTCAATAAGCCACTAAAGCCCAAAGGGGCCTAAATGTTTCTGCACCGCTGCTCTTCATACTGTAGCTCACCGTATCGATTGTTCACACAACCCCCGGGCCACCCCTTTGGTGCTTAATCAACCGTCTATTGCAGAAACACTAACAATTAGGGAACAATCCTCCCGCTGCTCCGGCGGAGGAGCATGGAGCCTCCTCCTCAGCCTCTGGAAGTCCTGCACAAGTAGCTGCTGATGGCCGACAACATGTGTTCTCTGCACAGCGTCTGCCACCCTGTCTGTTTACACTCATCAGTTTACCGACGCTCACAGCTTTTTACTTCTATTATGCTAGAAAAATCCTTAAATATGAAGTCCGTCAGTGTAAGTGTGTTTTAAATCTGAGCAAAAATACAAATTTCAAAATATCTATAATCCTTATGTGATCAGATATTTTCCCAGAGATCATAAATTCAACTAAATGTAAAATGTTACCATATGAACTATTTAATAGAGTTTTAATTAGAATGATTGATAAAATATTAATGAACGTGGAAGAAAATGGCAGCTGATAGAAAGGAGAGAAAAGCACAGTGTGAAGTCCACTGCTGGCTTTGTTTCTGCAAACGATGAAATCCCACACTCCCCTGTTTCATTCTGACTTTAATTATTTGTACCAAAAGGTGAGACTATGACACGTACGGCTGATCTTGTAATAAATGACAGAGCAGACAGGAAGTGCAGCAGTAACAAGTGAATATTACAGCTGCCGGTAGTTTATGATTGTGCTGCGTTAACAGACATTTTTTGTGAAAGTTCTGTTTAGTTTGGTATCCATTCGTGTTCTATCTTCCCCGTACTCCTTCCAGAGAGTAGACTTTTATTTGCAGTTTTTTTCCCCTAAAACAAAATTTTTCCAAGCTAAATTTCACTTTTTTGTATTTGTAACTGTCGATTTTCCACAAGAGGATTTGTTGAGTCGTTTGGAGATTTTTGAATTGCTTTAAGAGACAAACATTGGTAACGCTTTACCTCGTAAAGGCAAAATTGGTAAAAGGGTTAGGTTCAGCAGAAGGTCACACCAAAGCTAGCTTGAACAGGCAAGCTTTTTAAAGGAGACCATTGAGTCCACTGATCTCAGGCTCAGGGGGAGAGAGTTCCAGAGACTGGGGGCCACAGCAGCAAATGATCTGTCACCTTTGGTCTTTAGCCTGGTGCTGCACAACCAGTAGGCTTTGGTCACTGGACCTCAGGGACTTGCTGGGGGTGTAGGGACTAAGAAGATCACCAATGTAAGATGGTGCTTGTCCATGTAAGGCCCTATAGACCAGAACCAGGATTTTGAAATGAACCCTGAAGTTGACTGGCAGCCAGTGAAGCTGGAGGAGAAGCGGGGTGATGTGGGTATATTTGGAGGACTTGGTCAGAAGCCGAGCACAGGCATTCTGAACCACCTGTAGACGGTTCAGGGAGGCTCTGCTCAGACGCGTGAAAAGAGAGTTGCAGTAGTCTAAGTGTGAGGAGATGAAGGTGCGGAGAACTGTCTCAAGTTCAGAGCGGGACAGAATGGGACTCAACTTAGCAATGTTCCTGAGATGGAAGAAGGAAGAGCGAACAAGAGAACTGACATGAGAATCCAGGGTGAGCGCTGGGTCAAAGGTCACGCCAAGATCCCTGACTGAGGGTTTGGTGTGAGAAGCAAGCTGACCAAGAGAGTCTCTGACTTTGGGAACCAGCTTGTCTGGGGCACAGATGAGGATCTCAGTCTTATCTTCATTCAGCTGAAGAAAGTTCCCACCATCCAGGTTTTAATAGAGTCTAAGCAGGTGTGTAACAGCTGCAGCTTAGATATCTCATGGGGCTTAAAGCAGATGTAAATGATAAATTACCCACACTTGTATAGCACCTTTCAGAGGACTGCAAAGCGCTTTACACGACAGTGTATCATTCATCCATTCACACACACACACACACACACACACACACATTCACACACTGGTGATGACGAGCTGCAATGTAGCACTGACAGAGGCGTGTTAATGTTAATGTTAGTGCATGATTAAGGATTAATAAACTAATAATAACTGCTTGACAATATTAAGCAATGCCTTACTAAACCCTTTGTCCTAATCTTTAAAATAGCAACACCGGGAACATTAATAAAGAGACCTTTTGTTTATTAATACTTAATAATGCACTAAGTAACATTTATAAAAGGGACTCTGATTGTAAAGTGTTAGCGAAACAACAAACAAATTCTCCATTGTGCCTCGCTCGTCTCAGTGAGTCTCTTGAGCTGAAAGCAGCCTATAGGACAGACCGGAAACATTTTACAGCAGCCTCTCTAGTGCAGGTTGTATAAGAGGGTCCACCCACCATGTGTCACCGAAACACCTACAGACGGGAGTTAGTTCCCACTAATCACGCCTCTGCTCAAGCAGCTACCTGCGCCTGAGAGGAAAAATGCAAGGCTCTGTCCATCCACCTGCTCTGCACATCAAACAGATCATAAAACACAAAGAAAGGAAAGTTGGAAACTCCAATAACTACTCAAGTACTCAAGTAATCAGAGTTACAGAGGAAATGTTGTGGAGCTTTAACATTTCCAGAATACCAGTTTGTTTTGTAGGTAAATTATTTTGTTTTATTGTTGTTAAAAATACGTGCAGCTTTTCTGCAACTCGTATCCATAACCTACTACTTTAGAAAATGAAGAAAGACCCAGTAGCTTATAAACGTTACTCCGTTAGGTTATTGCTCTGGGTTCAGAGGCCAGCTCAGATCTTCCTGTTTCAACAGGAACAGCAGCTATCGGGGTCCTAAAAACATTTTAGATTCAAACTGTTTGAGGAAAACTGATCTTTCTGAGGACTCAGAACCACTGGTTGTCTCTTCAGTCAGAAATGTCCTCAGTTTGCATCTCTGAATTTGTCGAAAGGCAAAGAAAACAATAAAGAGGTTTCCTGTAGAGGCTGACTGGCTGGTAATCTGCACCACATGCTGGTCTGGAGCCAACAGGACTGGATTTTCTAGGAACTGACATCAGCGTCCTTGCATCATTTAATCCATGCTGCACTTCCTTCTCTTGCACTTGCCAGAGCACACACCTTCTTGTCTGAACTCGGCAGCGTGGGCTCACACTGACCTGCATCTCCTTGTCTCCATACTTGGACGAGTGTTTGCTGCCCTGGCTCTTCCGGCGCAGCTTCTTCAGCTCCGCCTGGCATTTCTCCAGACTCTCCCCTTTGCTCTTGTGCTCCATCTGGTACTTCTTCAGGGCCGCCTGAGGGGGGCAGCACAAAGTCAGCAGGGGGGCACAGCAGTGCTTACCTCACATTCAACTCAGAGGCATCAGCTGTGGCTTTAGTGCCCCATTGGAACACAAGTGAGGATGATTCTGATGTTTATGGCACTAAAGTTACTCCAGACCTTTTAAGAACATCATCGTTTCACAAACAAGAAACACTTACGTTCAGGTAGCGAGCATCGAGCTCCACCTTCTTCTCCAGCTCTGTGAGCAGCTCGTTGTGGAAGGACTTCAGCTGAAAGACGAACACAAAAACCTCAGAAACGATGACTCCAAACACATAATCTAACTAACCACAAGTGGTAACATGCCCAAACCACAGCCAAGTATTTTTAAAAGTGAGACGTTGCATCTGGTTTTAGTGCAGCGGTGCCAGAATGATTGGAAGAGAGAAATGTGTTTTGTGTTTGGGGATGACACACCCAGAAGTTTACAGGAAAATAGCTGGAATGAGACGTGCGCACCCAGTCAGCGTGTGGGATCTGTGTGTGCGGCTTTAGTGAGTGTCTACTTATACAATTAATTGGGAATGTGTAGTCTTCCTTTTTTTAATTGCCAAGTTAGCTGTAAAGCATTTAGGGAAGTCTTTTTTAGGCTGAAGACAGCCAGTTGATCTTAGACGGTACTTTTGTTCAAATAAACAACATTTCAGATTTTTAGTGGCCCAAATGAATGAGAATATCTCACAATTACCTTTGAAATATTCAGCAAAAAGACTGAAATCAAGCAGCTTCAGACTCTTAACTCATTCACTGCCAATGACGACTAAAGTCGTCATTTGCATTTTTTTACTGTTTGAGCATCGGAACGAGCCCCCGCGCTGAGAGAACAAACATCTCAGCCCTGAAGCCGATCTTCATCCGCATACGTCACAGATCACATGATCAGGAAGCAACACATCCATGTGTTTGGAGATCGTTTTGGGCCGTTCCTGTAAAAAAAATAAGTGAGGCGCGAACCGGAAAAGCGTCTGCCGATCACAATTCGACAACGGATTATGAAAGAACGGATAACGCTCGAAACACACGGATTCTTCCTGATGTAAGAGGTGAGTCCCCTCTTTGTTTAGGCTGTTTTGGCATCGACATCATCCTAGCGCGCAACGTTCTGTGACTCTTAAAAAACAGTAAAAACGGTGAGAAACGCTGGCAGAGAAGGCCGTTAGTGAATGAGTTAAGTGACTAAATGTTCTCTTTACTGCCACAATTGGCTCATTTACTCTTTGTTATTCTTATAGAGTCTGCAATGACTGTAATTTATGTTCGTCTGAACCAGCAAAACATATTTAAACTAAAGTGATGCAGCAACAATCAGACAAAGCACCTATGCCAGAAGCTGCTCACGCACAGGAAAGTGTTTTCTCCCCCTGGATAACAGATTTTGAAATATTTCATGTGATTAAGCATCAAGACCACAATCTGTTGGGCTCCTGATTGGCAGACTGAGTAGTGCTGATTTTAGCAACACCATCACCACATGCTCACCATCTCCTCAAGCTGGATCTGGATCTGTCTGTGCACTTCAGCCATCTGAAACAGAACATCCCCTGCAGAGAGAAGAGAAAGAACAAAGATGATACACAAACAAAGGGAGGGGGAGATGAAAGTGTGATATCTATTCTTTCCAAAGTCTAAGAGGGCTACACAAGTCGTGCAAAAAAAAACAACAGCGACCATGCAGCCAAACAGAATGGATGAGAGACGGGTGAGCCAATGGATGAGATGCAACAGCTGACATGACACCGACGGAGCAGACGAAACTCAAAACTGTGAGAGAAATAAAAAGAAAATATGCTGCACAGACGTAATCATGGCAAATCAAAAGGTTGATCAAGAAACCTAATGAAAGAATTAAATCCAACAAGGAGTTTGTCCCTTTCTGCCAAAGGTTTAGGAACATTACTGCTAATAAAACACAGGAGCAAGTCTATGAAAGATCTTTATCTGCTACAATGCAACAAAACAAAGAAAACATCAGAAGATAAAACCCCAAAGTCTAAATCTAAATAAAGAAATAAAAACTTAAACTTAAAAATGATTCATGCAGCCAGGGGAGGTGTTTTAAGATACCTACATGCTGCTTCTTCTGATTATGCAATGCATTGTAAAAAGTTAAAAAGAACAAAAACATCTAGTTTTAGTGAAGAACCGAAGGAAAGAGACCCGAAGAGACAGAGGCAGATCAAACTAACCTGAAAAAAATGAGGCAAACGACAGGTTTTCACAGAGAAAAGACACTTAAACACATTAATACTCGCGTCAACCTAAACTCGTACTGGATTTTATTAACCTAAATGTTTTAACAAACACTTTTTTTTTGTTCGATTGTATTTAAATGTGAAATAAATAATCAACCAGTGCTTAGAATGTGAATGTTTCTCAGAAATCCAGTTTCAGTTGAGCTCTAAAACTGAAGCAACTTAACACAAACTAAAGTTTTTACTTAATCCCTGAACTTTCATCATTCTTGAATAAGATAGAAATGAAAAGCTGGTTTAAAAAGTTCATACAGAATAAAACTCGACTACGATCTTACAGAATATGAATAATATCCATCAACATTTAGCATGAGGCATTGCAGGCATGCATTAATATAGAAAATAACCAGGATAAACCAGCCCATTCTCAACGTCACTAACCTCCCTCCCATCTGACACAGTTAATGTATGTTTTTTAAGTTTTCTCCAACACAGTGGGACACATGAGTGTGGGACATTAAACAGAGGACAGTCAGAGGGACACAGAGTGGGCTGCCTGGGCAGGATTAATGAGCTTAATGGAAATGCTGCGGTCATGCGGATGAGACTCAGCTGGAGTAGAACAGATTAGGTGTGGTCAGACCAGAAGGTTATTCCTCATGACTTAGCTTCCTTCTAGGATCACTTCTGGCCCATCTCCACAGCTTTATTCTTTCATTTAAAATTGTTCTTTTTGTAAATATTTGCTAATTTAGCAGTTCAAACAGGGCAATCTAATTAGGACCGGCCTTTCATAAAAACTCAGATGTGACAAGCACATATGGCTGAAAAATGGTAACTTGACCAAGACCAAATGAAGCACAAAGTTTCTCATCCTGCAGTCACACTCAACAGCACCCCACCCCCCTAAAGAAAACACATGGGCAGGCTGTGGATCGGGGTAGTGAGGCAGATAAATGCACTGATGTGCACTTCTAAACTCTCCTTTGATTCTGAGGGACACACACACACACACACACACACACACACACACACACACACACACACACACACACACACACACACACACACACACACACACACACACACACACACACACACACACACACACACACACACACACACACACACACACACACACACACACACACACACACACACACACACACACACACACACACACACACACACACACACACACACACACACACACACACACACACACACACACACACACACACACACACACACACACACACACACACACACACACACACACACACACACACACACGCTCATCTCATCCATTAAAAAACAGCCACAGGACATCAACAGCCACCTACAGCCAAGCTAAAGTGGAGCGGCTCGATCATGCACACAATTACACTAAAGCTGACCCCTGGGGGGGGGGGGGGGGGGGGGGGCAGGAAACTGCACCACACAGAAACGCCTCACAGAGGTGTTGGATTAAATAGACAGGAGAAAAAAAGAGGACAAGCCACCACTTTTGTCCCCTTGCACGCCATGGCTGATTTAGTATCTCGAGTAAGACGTCGCCTCTTCACTGATGAAGCAGCTTCAAGGTCAGGAGAGCAGCGATGGTGAATCACGGATGATTAGATCACCAACTAGACCGGGATCTTTCTAAACAATCATTCTGCAGATTTCTGGTCATTTTAGGTTTACAAATGTACTCAATGCCACTGGCCTGACTTATTAAACTAATTTATAATTGAACCAGTATACTTTTGTTATAGTCCACTGAGATTGTATTTGATGAGCCAGTTTTTAATAAATAAACAGAAGTGAATCAGGACACTAAATTAGTGAACCTGACAAATGGTAAAAAATGTGTTTGGCTGATTATTTCTTTGTTGTAACTAGGTTTCTTTGTATTAATTCTCATATCATTGGAAAGAGTGATTAGCCACCTTTACTAAGAGGTGGAACCATACATCTGTGGACACAGCCAAATGTGTGGACAGTGCACTAAAAATGTCTGAATAATCTCCTGCATGTTTCTCCTGCTGCTATAGTACGGAGTTTCTTGGTGGTTTGCATGACTGAACTTTCCCACAGAAGCCAGGAAAAAGTAACACATATTGATCTTTTTACACTTTATTCATCTTCCACTGTCAGGGGTCTCAGTAGTGTGAGGAAGATGAAGAGCAGCTTGGTTCCTCCTCCTCCTCACATGTTTTATCCGCCTAGGCTCCTAGGTATTAAATGTCCCTCAGGTGACTGGAATGGTTTTATGTATTCAGAGGAAAAACAAAACAATACAATTAATAAGTTCTTGTCAATTTAGCATAATCTGACACCAGAAACATTCGTCAGGTTAGGACTCTTCTAATCTACACATTTCTATAATTGATGCTACAAACACAACTTGTGATTATTTCTAAGCTTTAGTGATCTTTAGATCTCAGCAGAAATATGAAAGGGTTAGGGTGCCCTCATGACTTTAATTCAGCACATTCGGTAAACACCGAGTAGTCTTAAAAAATGTTTCACTTTTACATTAACTGTGCAAATGTCCACCTCTTCATGAGATTTTGAGCAGACAGAATAAACCCAGTCAAACCTTAAAGCTTCTACAAAAAAAATAAAAAATACAGCAACGGAGACAGATTAACTCTACCGCTCACTGAGCTCACTTCCGTAAACTGGAGATCTTATTGTTTCTTCCTGGCTTAGTAACAAATGTGCTCGTCAATAAACTCATTAGGTTCAGGCTTCATTGATTCCGTCAGGGTGAAGTCTCTTGTTGGCCTCCTGCTGGCGAGTCAGGCATCAACTCCACTCTTCAGGTAAACAGGTGGTGACTTGGTCCCTTTGTACCAGCTGCTGCAGGTGATGGAAGAACCTGCTTTGGTTTTTAAGCTAAAGGCAGCGCTGCCTGATTACTATATATTAGACTATTCTTCAGATGCACTTGTAATGCATTTCTTTTCTAAACGATGTGTAATTTGAAGTTTCGGTGATTATTAGTATTTGGGATTGAAACGCAGACAAAGTGAAGGTGCAAGTTAAGTGAACCGCTCTCCTAAACTTCATCTACAAAGAAACGGTTGGTGGGATGCAACAGGTCTCAGTCCTCATCAGGACACTCTGACCCTGTGCTTGCTTCATCAACTGGAAGATTCCCAATTTCATGGATGTTCTTGTTTTGTTGGGTCCAACTAATCCAGCAGCACTCCACCTTGCATTGTGAAATATGGGACTTCTACCCGACGGAAGTAAGCTGCTTACTACTAATCAGAGCAGATCACAACATCTGAGGCTTAGAGAAAAGTAAAGCACATTGTTGTTCACTCCCAGAGAGCAGGTGGATCAATTAAAGAATACTCAGTTAATGTTTTTGGTTACAAAATGCTTTAAAAAAAAAACAAATCAAGACAATTCCCTGCATAGATTTTGTAAATGCATGCTGGTGTTTTAGGAACTACCAAAATGCTGTTCCTTCAAATTGACCAGATTTATACCCACAGCTGTTATTTCTTCTTCATTTCTGAGGTTTAGAGCACATGTGACAAAATACGTTTCCAACATGCAGCTCAACAGATTACAGTAAAGGAATAATGTGATCTGGTCAGTGCTGACAAAGTGGGCCAAAGTTCACCCACCAAACTACATCTGGTCTAGGGTATGAGTGTAGGAGCAGGTCTGTTGGCAGGGTGGAAATGAGCCCATTATTCGTTGGGACTCGCCCAAGGACAGTGCTAACATCTCGGTTTATTACCCCAACTACTTGCCATGCAGCTCTGGTGCTCAGCAGAGCCACGGTTAATGGCCGAGTGAAGGAAGGCGTTTTATGTAGCGTGCATCCCCGCAGGGACTTTATTATAAACAAGCAGCTCTAATCCCCAGAAGGCTGCGATGAATGGAGCACAAGGTGCTGCAGGGAGATTTGCCCTCATCAAAGCTGCATGATTGACATGATTATTGTGCTCATCTTGGTCTTTAGTTTTGTTAATCACTGGGAGTGATTGGATGCAGTGAAACAGCCTGGAGGACATGAGCATGCATTTACACACAAAAAATAGATTAGTGTTAATGCTTAATCACCTACTTGACCACTAAGTTTGTGCTGTGGCTGCTATACAGGTTGTAAAGTCTTGATTGTCTGCAGCCTGATGTGATCAATGATGGAGGCTCAGATGCTTGAACCAACAGCACTGCCAGCATGATTACAATTATTAATGAAACAGCTGAGCAAACCATTATCTTAATAGCATCTACAGGTCCTTCTCTTAAAAATTAGCATATTGTGATAAAGTTCATTATTTTCTGTAATGTACTGATAAACATTAGACTTTCATATAAATTAGATTCATTACACACAACTG